TTCTTCTTCTTCTTCTTCTTCTTCTTCTTCTTCTTCTTCTTCTTCTTCTTCTTCTTCTTCTTCTTCTTCTTCTTCTTCTTCTTCTTCTTCTTCTTCTTCTTCTTCTTCTTCTTCTTCTTCTTCTTCTTCTTCTTCTTCTTCTTCTTCTTCTTCTTCTTCTTCTTCTTCGTCTCCTGACACCACTCCTCCTCCTCACCCCTACCCGACTCGGTACCAGGCCCTTCTTCGTCTTGAGCGTGAGGAGCAGCAGCGTTTGGAGCGTGAGAGGTTGGAGGTTCAGCAGCGGGTGGAGCAGGAGAGGTTGGAGTTGCAGCGGGGAGCAGCAGCATCAGCAGCAGCAGCAGCAGCAGCAGCAGCAGCAGCAGCAGCAGCAGCAGCAGCAGCAGCAGCAGCAGCAGCAGCAGCAGCAGCAGCAGCAGCAGCAGCAGCAGCAGCAGCAGCAGTGGCACCAGCAGCAGGGCAGCAGCAGCAGCAGCAGCAGCAGCCGCCGCCGCCGCAGCAGCAGCAGCAGCAGCAGCAGCAGCAGCAGCAGCAGCCGCAGCAGCCGCAGCAGCCTCCGCCCCCTGTTTCTGGCCTTCGGGCCCTTGGTCTCCCCTCCTCTCCTCTTGTTCTCGGTCCTACGTTTCCTCCTCCGGACTCAGCTCCGGCTGTGTTCCCTCGTTCTCAGTCTCCTCCGTCTCCCCCTCCTCTCACCCACACTTGGACCTCTCGTCCTCCTCGTGCTCGTCCCTCGTCACCTGTCACTGACCTCCGTACCGTGTTGTTTCGCACTAGTCCTCCTCGTCCTCCTCTGTTGCGACTTCTACCGCAGAGGCCGAGATCTACGCTGGAGCCCTTGCTGCACAGGAGCTACGCTGGTTGACCTTCTTGCTCACTGACCTTGGTGAGCGGCCGAGCTCTGCACCGACCTTGCCTGCTGACAACAAGGCGATGATTCTCCTGTGTCGTGAGCCTCGACTGGAGAGCAGAGTGAAGCACATCGACGTCAGGTACTTCCTCCTTCGAGAGTTGCAGAGACGCGGTCAGGCACGTCTGGACTTCGTGGCCTCCGAGGCCAACACTGCAGACATCTTCACCAAGGCCCTTCAGCCTTGTGACCACCGCCGGTTTTGTCTGCAGTTAGGCCTCGTTGAGACTGGGTCTAGTAGACTGCAGTAGTGAGTTCTTGCCTCTTGTTTGTTTGTACCATATATATTAGCTTGTACACTCTTGAACTGGCCTTGTGGCCTCTTGTTTGTGCTCAGACTGTGTGGTGACGTTGTGATCCACCCTGAGCTGTGTTTTCTCTCTTGCTTGTGACTGGTCTTGTGACCTTAGGTTGCGTTTTGTTGCTTGGCATTCCCCACTTAGGCTATGGGGGTGTGTCAAATGTTATAGCCTCTTATGGGTTATGCTATATGGGGTACAAACAGTTAGGGTTAGGTATTTGTACCCCAACTCAATCAATCCAATCATTCTGCTGTTTTCAGTTCCTGAGAGTAAGAAACTCCATCGACACTCATAGGTATCGTTCCCATGTTCACTGAAGTTGATGCTTGTGGTGTTGCCATGAACATTGAGAGACACTCAATGACTACTTGTTGAATTGCACGATCGATGGCAAATGCGCCATCTCCATCGACAATGTTGAACGCAAAGGACGGGGAAGATCCTCCTACGTCGCCTGATCCAGTTGCAAATGCAGCTGTGGGAGCACGGCTGGCAACATCATGCTAAGCTACAAGTGGGCAGCATCATCAGGTAACGAATGGGTAACAGGATCAGGGCTGTTGACGGAGCAGTGTCATTGGTCAGGCACTTGTGTGAGAAAGTTCTTCTTCACCTGCAGCCATGGGATCAGGCAGTGGAGAGAGCGATTACGGCAAGCAGCAAGCATGCACGGCCTCACAGCAATTCATGAGCCACAGGAGGGGGTCCGGGGCACAGGAGGGGGTCCGGGGCACAGGAGGGGGTCCGGGGCACAGGAGGGGGTCCGGGGCACAGGAGGGGGTCCGGGGCACAGGAGGGAGTCCGGGGCACAGGAGGGGGTCAGGGGCACAGGAGGGGGTCAGGGGCACAGGAGGGGGTCAGGGGCACAGGAGGGGGTTCCATCCAGCATGACTGCCGGACAAAAGCACTCGAAGAGAACATGGGTGGAGTGAATGCAGTGTGCATGCGAGCAAGAATGTGACTCGAGAGTAGATGTGACTCGGGAGTGGATGTGACTCGGGAGTGGATGTGACTCGGGAGTGGATGTGACTCGAGAGTAGATGTGACTCGGGAGTGGATGTGACTCGGGAGTGGATGTGACTCGAGAGTAGATGTGACTCGGGAGTGGATGTGACTCGGGAGTGGATGTGACTCGAGAGTAGATGTGACTCGGGAGTGGATGTGACTCGGGAGTGGATGTGACTCGAGAGTAGATGTGACTCGGGAGTGGATGTGACTCGGGAGTGGATGTGACTCGGGAGTGGATGTGACTCGGGAGTGGATGTGACTCGAGAGTAGATGTGACTCGGGAGTGGATGTGACTCGGGAGTGGATGTGACTCGGGAGTGGATGTGACTCGGGAGTGGATGTGACTCGGGAGTGGATGTGACTCGAGAGTAGATGTGACTCGGGAGTGGATGTGACTCGGGAGTGGATGTGACTCGAGAGTAGATGTGACTCGGGAGTGGATGTGACTCGGGAGTGGATGTGACTCGAGAGTAGATGTGACTCGGGAGTGGATGTGACTCGGGAGTGGATGTGACTCGAGAGTAGATGTGACTCGGGAGTGGATGTGACTCGGGAGTGGATGTGACTCGGGAGTGGATGTGACTCGGGAGTGGATGTGACTCGAGAGTAGATGTGACTCGGGAGTGGATGTGACTCGGGAGTGGATGTGACTCGGGAGTGGATGTGACTCGGGAGTGGATGTGACTCGGGAGTGGATGTGACTCGGGAGTGGATGTGACTCGGGAGTGGATGTGACTCGGGAGTAGATGTGACTCGGGAGTGGATGTGACTCGGGAGTGGATGTGACTCGGGAGTGGATGTGACTCGGGAGTGGATGTGACTCGGGAGTGGATGTGACTCGGGAGTGGATGTGACTCGGGAGTGGATGTGACTCGGGAGTGGATGTGACTCGGGAGTGGATGTGACTCGGGAGTGGATGTGACTCGGGAGTGGATGTGACTCGGGAGTGGATGTGACTCGGGAGTGGATGTGACTCGGGAGTGGATGTGACTCGGGAGTGGATGTGACTCGGGAGTGGATGTGACTCGGGAGTGGATGTGACTCGGGAGTGGATGTGACTCGGGAGTGGATGTGACTCGGGAGTGGATGTGACTTGGGAGTGGATGTGACTCGGGAGTGGATGTGACTCGGGAGTGGATGTGACTCGGGAGTGGATGTGACTCGGGAGTGGATGTGACTCGGGAGTGGATGTGACTCGGGAGTGGATGTGACTCGGGAGTGGATGTGACTCGGGAGTGGATGTGACTCGGGAGTGGATGTGACTCGGGAGTGGATGTGACTCGGGAGTGGATGTGACTTGGGAGTGGATGTGACTCGGGAGTGGATGTGACTCGGGAGTGGATGTGACTCGGGAGTGGATGTGACTCGGGAGTGGATGTGACTCGGGAGTGGATGTGTGGTGCAAGGAGGGGAGAGCAGCGCGTGCAGGTGGAGGGCAGAGGCACCTGTTCCAGAGTGAGGAGCGCACCTGTTCGAGCGTGAGGAACATGATGACATTCCAGGAGCCGAGGCGGCCGAAGTTGGGGATGAAGCCCTTGTAGAACGCCATCACGCCCTGGAGGGGGGAGGGGTGGAGGGGGTGGCAAGAGAGGGACCACGTGCAGCATACTGTTGGCATTCGAGAGGTGGTGCACGTGCCACAGCCTGCACGTGCTACAGCCTGCACGTGCTACATGACACTCGCACAAGAGTCATGGTTGCATGAGAGTCATGGTTGCATGAGAGTCATGGTTGCATGAGAGTCATGGTTGCATGAGAGTCATGGTTGCATGAGAGTCATGGTTGCATGAGAGTCATGGTTGCATGAGAGTCATGGTTGCATGAGAGTCATGGTTGCATGAGAGTCATGGTTGCATGAGAGTCATGGTTGCATGAGAGTCATGGTTGCATGAGAGTCATGGTTGCATGAGAGTCATGGTTGCATGAGAGTCATGGTTGCATGAGAGTCATGGTTGCATGAGAGTCATGGTTGCATGAGAGTCATGGTTGCATGAGAGTCATGGTTGCATGAGAGTCATGGTTGCATGAGAGTCATGGTTGCATGAGAGTCATGGTTGCATGAGAGTCATGGTTGCATGAGAGTCATGGTTGCATGAGAGTCATGGTTGCATGAGAGTCATGGTTGCATGAGAGTCATGGTTGCATGAGAGTCATGGTTGCATGAGAGTCATGGTTGCATGAGAGTCATGGTTGCATGAGAGTCATGGTTGCATGAGAGTCATGGTTGCATGAGAGTCATGGTTGCATGAGAGTCATGGTTGCATGAGAGTCATGGTTGCATGAGAGTCATGGTTGCATGAGAGTCATGGTTGCATGAGAGTCATGGTTGCATGAGAGTCATGGTTGCATGAGAGTCTGCATGGACTTGTGCGGTGGAGACAGCAGACACGCCACCACGCAGACGCACAGACATCCAGGAGCGAGCAACGTCTGGGCTGAGAGGGGCTCTCTCAGCCGCAGCTCCCGCAAGCCGGCGGACGCGCTGCCATCCATGCGGGCCTCTTTGCTCTCCACTCGCCATCAACTCAACTCGCAACACCCATGCGCAACCACGGCATGGGGCGGGCAGCAAGAGATGCGGCAGGCAGGAGCAGCAAGCAGTGGTCATTCCCCGTGGAGCGTTGACACATGCGCTTGCCCCTTGCGCCACGCCGCTCTGCTCCCACCAACCCTGGCGCCCACAGCCGCCTGCAAGCACGCTCCCAGCCAGTGGTGCCCTGCAGCACGCCCACCTGGTGCCCTGCAGCACGCCCACCTGGTGCCCTGCAGCACGCCCACCTGGTGCCCTGCAGCACGCCCACCTGGTGCCCTGCAGCACGCCCACCTGGTGGCCTGCAGCACGCCCACCTGGTGCCCTGCAGCACGCCCACCTGGTGCCCTGCAGCACGCCCACCTGGTGCCCTGCAGCACGCCCACCTGGTGGCCTGCAGCACGCCCACCTGGTGGCCTGCAGCACGCCCACCTGGTGGCCTGCAGCACGCCCACCTGGTGCCCTGCAGCACGCCCACCTGGTGGCCTGCAGCACGCCCACCTGGTGCCCTGCAGCACGCCCGCCTGGTGGCCTGCAGCACGCCCACCTGGTGCCCTGCAGCACGCCCACCTGGTGCCCTGCAGCACGCCCACCTGGTGGCCTGCAGCACGCCCACCTGGTGCCCTGCAGCACGCCCACCTGGTGGCCTGCAGCACGCCCACCTGGTGCCCTGCAGCACGCCCACCTGGTGGCCTGCAGCACGCCCACCTGGTGCCCTGCAGCACGCCCACCTGGTGGCCTGCAGCACGCCCACCTGGTGCCCTGCAGCACGCCCACCTGGTGGCCTGCAGCACGCCCACCTGGTGCCCTGCAGCACGCCCACCTGGTGGCCTGCAGCACGCCCACCTGGTGCCCTGCAGCACGCCCACCTGGTGCCCTGCAGCACGCCCACCTGGTGCCCTGCAGCACGCCCACCTGGTGCCCTGCAGCACGCCCACCTGGTGCCCTGCAGCACGCCCACCTGGTGCCCTGCAGCACGCCCACCTGGTGCCCTGCAGCACGCCCACCTGGTGGCCTGCAGCACGCCCACCTGGTGCCCTGCAGCACGCCCACCTGGTGCCCTGCAGCACGCCCACCTGGTGGCCTGCAGCACGCCCACCTGGTGCCCTGCAGCACGCCCACCTGGTGCGCGCTTGCACCACAATTCATCCGCACATGGAAGGAGAAGTTGACACAACACATCTACTATGCAAGCAATTGGACAGCAGCAGCAGGGCAGCAGGGGCAGGGGCGGCGGCACGCACGTCGTTGCGGAAGGTCTTGACGAAGCAGTCGAGGGTGCCCTTGTACTGCCCGCTGCTGTCACCCATCACACGCGACTTCACCTGCCCGCCCACCAGGGGGGATGAGGGAAGGGGGCAGGAAAAAGAGGACGCAAAACGGGGATGGGAGTGGGAGAGCAACATGAGCGGTTGAGAAGAGCTGCGGCCCTGTGCTGTCACCGTGGCAGTGCCCTGTGCTGCCACCGTGGCAGTGCCCTGTGCTGCCACCGTGGCAGTGCCCTGTGCTGCCACCGTGGCAGTGCCCTGTGCTGCCACCGTGGCAGTGCCCTGTGCTGCCACCGTGGCAGTGCCCTGTGCTGCCACCGTGGCAGTGCCCTGTGCTGCCACCGTGGCAGTGCCCTGTGCTGCCACCGTGGCAGTGCCCTGTGCTGCCACCGTGGCAGTGCCCTGTGCTGCCACCGTGGCAGTGCCCTGTGCTGCCACCGTGGCAGTGCCCTGTGCTGCCACCGTGGCAGTGCCCTGTGCTGCCACCGTGGCAGTGCCCTGTGCTGCCACCGTGGCAGTGCCCTGTGCTGCCACCGTGCTTGCACACGCGGTAAGACGGTGGCACAAGCGGCAGAGGCAGGGGTAGGAGAGGGCGAGGAGAAGAGAGGCAAGAGCGGGAGTGAGGTGAATGGGCAAGTGGCAGTGAGACAGAAGGCTGGGACTGTGGAGTTGGAAGGCGAGGAGGAGGTGAAGCGAGGGCGTGTGGGAAGATGTGGGGAGAGTGTGAGGAAAGGGGGGCCCAAGCGAGGGGAATGGGGAGAGGGATGTTGGAAGAGGTGCTCAAAACATGAGAGCACAGGGAGAGGGGGGCAGCAGGGGGGGCGGCAGGGGGGGCGGCAGGGGGGGCGGCAGTGCGAGCGGCAGGCAGTGCATAGCTGCAGGGGGGGCAGAACGGACGACGTCGACGGGCGAGCCGATGCAGACGGCGAAGAAGCCGGCGCCGAGCCCAGCAATGAGGTGCGTCCCCACGTTGTCACCAAAGCCCGGTACCTTGAGCAGCGTCTGGTGGGGGCAGGACAGGGGCAGCGCAACGGCAGAGAAACATGACCAGGAAATGTTGACAGAAGCATGTGTAAGAACTGGGTTAGAATCCATAAAGTAGGTAATGAGCTTAAGAATCTTGACGCATCACACATGAGCAGGACATGGATGGTGGGATTTGGGGGGAATCCCCAATGAGATCGGCTGAACACTCCTAATTGGTGGGTTGGAGATTTTAGTTGATCACATTTGGGCAATGTTGAATGCTGTAACACCAAACCCACAGAACTTACAATTGAACTAAGATAGAATTTGAAAGTTGGAAATGAAGGCTAACTTCAACAGCATGCAGCGCATGTATACTGTGCAATGCACGCGCTTGAGTGCAATGTATGCGATGCTCGCACCTGCTTGATCTGGTCGTAGCTGGCGAGCTCAGCGGCGTTGATGATGGCGTTGCGAGCGATGTTGGGCCCCACGCCCGTCCACAGCGCCGCCACGCCCTCCTGCCATGCCATGCCATGCCATGCCACACCACGCCGTGCCACACGATGCCATGCCACACCGTGCCACGCCATGCCGTGCCAGCAGCGGTAAAACTCAACATGGTTGAGCTTTGATGTCGGGCTTTGAGGGCCTTTTTGTTCCCCAACGTGCTCGCACTACTGTGACTCGCTTCTCAATGCTTCAAATGGTTAAGTTTCTTTCGAGATTGGAAACCAGGGCAGACGAATGGCGTTGCAACTAGCTTCAATCGAGCGAATGAGACGAGCACAGAGTGGTACTTTCCGAGGTGGAGGGGAAGGAATGAGCCGGAGGGATGGTTGAGCGCATGCGGGGCAACGACGAATGACGGAAAATGGTGGAGGCAGAGTGACGAATGGACCAAGGACGCTGACATTGACAAACAGCAAGCCCCTCCCTGCTCCCTCATGCACTCCACCTGCCATCCCATGGCGTCTGACCTGTCTGGCGATGGTGCCACCTCACCTGCCTAGCGATGGTGGCGTAGGCGTTGAGGGCGCCCGAGTAGCGCTTGGGTGTGCCGGGTGGCAGGCGCCCCTCGGACTGCAGCCGCACCTTCACCAGATCCGTGGGGTTGGCTATCGCTATCCCCACCGCCCCTGGTGGGCCGTGCATGGGTTCATGTATGGCGCATGGTGCATGGTGCATGGTGCATGGTGCATGGTGCATGGTGCAGGTATATGCATGCATGATGCAAGGTGAGGCGGAGAAAGTGAGGGCACTTGAAGGAAGGCGATTGTTGAGTTGAGACGTTCAGAGAAACATGCTTAGCGTGTGAGCACGAGCAATGGGAGCAGAGAGTAGCAGCAGTGGCAGGGAGCAGGGGGGCGGCGCACCTGTGGTGAGGGCAGCAGCGATCTTCATGGTGAGCGGCACGTCGCCCTTGTGGTCCCTGCCCACGAACAGTGCCTTCACCTGCCCGTCCATGGGGGCAGGGGGCAGAGGAGCAAGGAGACGCAGAGAGTTGAATGCTGGGCGCTGGGCCGCTATTCAACACATCACATCACATCACATCACATCACATCACATCACATCGCATCACATCACATCACATCACATCACATCGCATCGCATCGCATCGCATCGCATCACATCACATCACATCACATCACATCACATCGCATCGCATCGCATCACATCACATCACATCACATCACATCACATCGCATCGCATCGCATCACATCACATCACATCACATCACATCGCATCACATCACATCGCATCGCATCGCATCGCATCGCATCGCATCACATCACATCACATCACATCGCATCACATCACATCACAGCGCACCATGCTGTCACCTCGCTGTGTGCTGCTCGCCTCGGCGCTACAGTGAGCACACCCATGGGTCCTACAGACTCACGACACCCACAGGCTCACGAGGTGGCAGAGAATGCATGGGGGCTCACGGGGTGGCAGAGAATGCATGGGGGCTCATGGGGTGGCAGAGGATGCATGGGGGCTCACGGGGTGGCAGAGCGCGAATGGGGACGCACGGGGTCGTAGAGGCCGATGCGCAGGCCGCCACTCACGGGGTCGTAGAGGCCGATGCGCACTCACGGGGTCGTAGAGGCCGATGCGCACTCACGGGGTCGTAGAGGCCGATGCGCAGGCCGCCGTAGACGCACTGGCGGTGCAGCCCCGGCACGAGCCCCTTCCACAGCGCCGACAGCCCCTCCTCGCGCGCGATCGTCCCCATGGTCCCCACCATCCCGCGGTACTTCACCGCGCCCCCCGCCCCGCCCGCCCCGCCCGCCGCCTTGCCCTGCAGCTGCAGGCGCACCTTGGCCGTGTCGATCGGCAGCGTGCAGAACTGCAAGCCAGGGGGGGGGGAGGGGGGGTGTCGGGGGAAGCGTGGTGGGAACGTGGTGGGGAACGTGGTGGGAAGTGTGGTGGGGAGGGGAAAGGGGAGATTGGAGGAGTGGGCTGACGCGGCTGCAGGCAACTCGACACGCGCTTCACCGCAACGACGGGAATCGAGATGAGCAAATGGGGAGCTTGCGGGCGGAGCGCGCGATACGAGCGGGCGGATGGATGCAGGGCGGCGACGGACGACTCAGATCTCACCTCGGCGAAGCACGCGGAGATGGCGCTGCTAGCGAGGATGCCATAAACGGGTACGTACATCCGCTTCCCGTCCACCACCACCTCCCCGCTGCCGCCTCCTCCCCCCATCTCTGCGCGATCGCGATCCGCACGGCCGCCACACGCCGGTCCGCAGGGAAAAGCTGATCGCTCGCCAGGCGGGCGCGCGTGGGGGAAGAGCGAATGTGGGATCGAGACGGCGCGCGAACGCGGGCAGCACGCAGCGAGCTCCAATGGAACTCGTCGCAGCGTGCGGTGCGGGTGCGGGTGCGGGTGCGGGTGGCGGGCGACGCCGATTGATAAGAAAAGGCGCGGCAAGCTCTCCGCAGCAGCCGATCGGCAGAAGGTCTAGGAATCGCCTAGGTTCAGCAGATTCGGGGCGTGCGAGGAAGGCTGGCGCTGCGCTTGCGGCGAAGAGATATGGTGGTGGCGGGAGGAGCGGCCCGGAATGGAGTGGAGAGGCGAAACGGGTTGGAGCGGCAGGGCCCAGCAAGGAGGGGAAGGCGGAATATCGATGAGAGGAATTGAGGGGTGGAATATCGAGGTGCGTGTGGCTAGGTACAGTACGAGCAACGCTCGGTTGTGTCACCCCAGGGCGCACACTGGACTGCCAGGTTGGCTAAAGAACACCCCTCCCGCCCAAGGAGGCGGTTGTTGATTGGTGGCGGCGTCCCAGGTTTGTGGGCTCCACGAAGTTGGGGAATGAACATACTAAAAAGGGACAGCATAACATACTAGATTAGCTAATGTACATCCTAAACTACTTGATTTACTAACACATTTCCAAGGCTTCCACGTTCAATAAAATTCGCTGTTGACAAGAATGGCTGGTCTTGGCTTGGAGCATGGTTAGTCGTCAGCGGTGGGGCTGGACAGTCGGTACTGCCACGTGCGTCGCTGCCGCACCACCAGCTGCCAGAAGCCCTTCTCCCATGGGCCCTCCGCCCTCCACCCCTCCACTCCCCCCTCCACTGTGCCACCGCCTCCTCCCTGCCCACGGCCCGCCATGGCTCGACAGCTGCGCACCGCCCCGCTCTTCACCGTGCTGCTTTCCACCAAAGAGACCTCGCCACTCTCGCACCTCGACCCGCCTCCCCTTACATGCCATCCATGCTCTTCTGCCTTTACACCTCCCACGCGCACCCCTTCCATGGTCCCTGCAACAGCTGTGCCCTCCCTCAGTGCCCGTGTGGTGCTGCTACCCCCACTCACATCCGCCAGCCGCCTCTGCTTCACACCACTCACACATGCCCCTGCCTCTACGCCCTCTTCCCCCCTTGCTTTATCCTCCACCTTCCTCTTCTCTCCCCTCGTTCTTACACGCATCCCTCCCTGCTCGCTGTGTCGTTGCAAGTGCGCTACCTCTCGCGTGCCCCGCCTGCTCCGCCGCCCCTTACTCTCCCACGTCCAGCGCCACTCGTCCCCGCTGCCATCCTCACTGCCACTGCTGCCACCACCCCCACCACCTCCCCGTGCAGTGGCAGCAGCAGCGCGGTGATGAGCATGAGGAGAGGGAGCAGCAGGGGCAGCAGCACCGCCCGGCCATGCTCCCCCCTGAGCGGAGCGGCTCTTCTTCCTCCGCCGCCCACCATCCCACACCATCCACAGCTGCCGCCGCCGCCGCCTGCTCGCCCCTCCACTGCACCGCTGCTGCCCCTCCTGCTGCCCCTCCTGCTGCCCCTCCTGCTGCCCCTCCTGCTGCCCCTCCTGCTGCCCCTCCTGCTGTTCCTCCAGCAACCTCATTACGGACCCCAGCAGTGGCTGCACTGCTGCTGCCCCGCCCAGCAGCTTCTCAGAACCCTCCCCACACACAGCATAGGCGCAAGCATTACCCGAATCAGTGCCGGCGTCAACATGAGCATTGCAATCAGCTTCAGTATTTGCACCAGAATCAACATCAGCGTCAGTACCAGCAACGGCATCAGCACTGGCAGCAGCAGCAACATGAGCATGAGGGTGTGCAGAAGCAAGGGCACGATGAGGAAGGTGAGGTGCAGGTTGGTGGCATGGGTCCCCATGCACGTCACTGCCACCATCACCTCCTCCCCCTGCACCTGCTTCTGCTGCTAATGCCTCACCTGATGCATCACCTGATGCTTCACCTGCTGGGCAGGACATCTCGCACGCATCTAGTGCCCTCTCACCACTCGCACCCCCTCACCACTCGCACCCCCCTCACCACGCGCACCCCTCTCACCACTCGCACCCCCCTCGCCACGCGCACCCCTCGCTCCCCCCTGGCCACAGCACTGGCCACAGCACTGGCTGCGTCCTCCGTCTTCCCGGCACACTCCAGTGCAGCTGCCACCTCGCCCCTCACACTCACCTCGCCCCTCACACTCACCTCGCCCCTCACACTCACCCACCCTTCCCACAATGCCTGCTCGCAATGCCCCTTGCTCGCTATTCCATTCCCCCTCACCTCTCTCCTCACCTCCCCCCTCGCCTCCATCCCCTTGCTCCTTCACTCCTCCCTCTGTCCCTTCCTCCGTTTTTGTCTCTCTTCCCTCATCCATACCTCTGCTCCCGCCTCCCCCTTTTTTTACCTCTCCTGCTTCCTTCCCTCTTCCCTCCTCTCCTTCCTCCCCTCCTTCCACCTCTCCTCCCTCCTCTTTTCCCTCCCTTTGCCTTTCCCCACTTTCCTCCTTTCCTTCTTCCCCTCCACCCTCCCGTCCTATGTCCCCTCTCTTCTCCCCGCTTTCTTCCCCTCTTCCTTCCTCTATCACCCTCCCTCCTTCCTTTCCTCCCGCCTGTACTCCATCCCAGTTCTCCTCCCTTATTTCCTCCGTTTCTTCCTTCCTTCCTTCCTCCTTTTCCCCCTCCCCTCCTCTCTCCTTTATTACCTCCCCTCTGTCCTGCCACCATTCCACCCCTACTTCCTCCTCTCGTCCCTCCTCTCTTCCTTCTCTGTACCCTTTCCTTCTTTCATCCTCGCCTCCCTCCCGTCCTTCACCCTTTCCTACCTCCCCTCTTTCCTCCCCTCTTTCCTTCCCTCTCTCCTCTTCTCTTTTCTCCTCTCCTCCCTCTTCTTTTCCTTCCCTTTGTCCCATCCCTTTTTCCCATCCTCCTATCTCCCCTGTTACCTTCCCGCTCCCCTCCCTTCCTCCCCCGTCGCCCACCACTCCCCCCCACCGCCCGACCCCATCCTCCCTCGCACACCGCGCCCTGTCTATCTCCACCCTTCTCCCTGCTGACGTCACCAGCGCATCACTCCCCTCCGCCACCCCTGCCAGCACAGCCCCTCCCTGCCTCCCATCGCACCCACCCCTCCCCCACTGCTGCTGCACCCCACTCCCATCCCCCCACAGCACCGCTCTTCACCGCTTTCTCTCCCCCAGCACCTCTCTTCACCCCTGCTTTGCTGGTCACTGAACGCCATCTGCACATCTACTGCACCCTCCCCAGTTCCTTCCTTTCCCACTCCGTCCTTCCCCTTCGCATCCGCGCTTCCCACATCCCCCTTCCCCGCCTGCCACTGCTGCTGCTGTTGCTCTTGCTGTTGCTCCAACAACCCCCCGACCTCCCCAAGGGTTTCCTCCTCTCGCTGCTGCTCCGTCCCCACCTGCCGCCCCTCCTGCTGCTGCGCCAGGACAACCTTTCCGACCTCTGCCTCGCGCTGCTCCTCCTCCTCCTCCCCGCTCTTGTGCCACTCAACCGCCCCAACTTCCTCACGCCCCTCCTCCCTCGCCCTCCCTACTAGCTCCTGTTGCCGCTCCCCACCTGCACCGCGCACCTCGTCCGCACTACTCACCGCCTCCCTTTCTCCCCCTCCCACCCCCGCCGTATGCACTCCGTTTCCTTCTCCCTCTGCTCCTCTCCCCACTCCTCCTCCCCCATCCCACTGCCCGTGCACAGGCCAATCAGCGGCCACCACAGAGCGTGGGTCAGCCAGCACAGCGGCGCGCGGAGGGGTGGAAAGGACCAGGGCGCGGGGCACACAGGTGGGGGGTGCTGGGGGAGAGGCCACGGGAGCAGCAGGCAGGGAAGCAAGCAAGGGGGGTGGGGAGAGGTGGGGCAGAGATGTGGGAGGAGGGGGAGGGAGCAAGGGGGGTGGAGGGGGGGCCGCGGGCAGCAGCAGCACGTCCAGCGCCGTAATGTGGCCGCTCCACCCCGCCTGCGCCCTCGCCTCCGCGCTCGCACTCACCCGCGCACTGCATGGCGCCGCACTGCCATTGGCCGCACTGCATGGTGCCGGCAGTGGCGCGGGATGGGCAATGGGAGGAGCAGGAGGCGGTAGGGCAGGGGGAGGGGTGGCGGCACGGCGGTGCAGCGCGTGGTGGGCGGCACCTCGCCCCTGTGGGGGAGGGCGCTGCTCCCATGGCCCCCCCTCTGACGCGGGCAGAGCACACACGGCGTTCCCTCCTGCCACATGTATCGCTGCAAGCTGCTCGCCCTGCACGCGCATCACTTCCATCTGCTGCTTCAACTCGCGAGGTTGGGTAGGGTAGGGCAGTGGCGGGTGCGGCAGGGAGCATGGTGCATGGCATGTGGCACGGCTGTGATCCCTGCTGCCATGCTCTCCCTCGCTGCACCCACCCTTGCCGCACAGCATCTCAGCAGCACAATCCGTGAGAGCACATTCACTTGCACCACACCCTGCTTCCTTGCCCTCGCCTGTGCCACACGGTATGTTGCCACCACATGCCATGTCATTGCATGGCTTCTCCTCAATGTCACCACCACAATGCCTGCCATCTCTGCATCCCTTGTCACCGTTCTCAACCACTGCACCCATTCTTCTCACACTGATCCCTCCTATTGCGTCCTCCACCTCTCCATTGTTCATGCCCACCCCCTGCCCTCCGCTCAACCCATCCCCTCTCACCCACCCCTCCTCAGCGCCCCCACCAAACCCCTCCAAGTCATGCTCGTTAGAGAGTGATTCGATATCAGCCACGTCCTCATCCCACCGCGCTGGTGCCGCTGCTCCCAGCGCTGCCAGCACGCCCGCTGCTGCTGCTGCGCGCCCTGCCATGGGGTGCTCCTGGGGCAGGTGTGCAGAGCGGTGGGGTGCGGTGGGCGTGGCAGAGAGGGCGGTGTGCAGGCGCAGGGCGAGGCGGTGGAGGGCGGGCGTGTGGCGGCGCAGCGAGATGACCCGCAGGGGACCACAGCCACACGCGCTGTTGATGCTGGCTGGCCCGTTGGGATCGCGTGGACAGAACGGGGAGGGGGTGGGGAGAGATGCAGGAGGAATAAGACACGGTGAGACGCGGTAAGGCAGAGGTAGGGCTGAGATGAGGGATGGAAAGAGAAGAGTTGCGGGAGGTGGCAGTGGGTGTTGAAATACAATGAGAGCAAGGTGCATGGAAGCACATGGGCACACCCAAGCCTGCCCTTGAGCACGCACCATGGTGCAGGCAGATGGGGTCGCGCACACAGCAGCATGCCACCACAGCGAGGTGGCAGAGGCGGCAGCAGAGCGAGCAGGGCAGCGCTGCTGACAGCTCTGGCAGCAGCGCCACCACGGCCCCGCGCTGCTGCATGCCCGCCTGCACGCGCCTCTCCTCGCCCACCAGGCACACAAACTGCTCCACTGTGCTGCGCTCCACACGACCCAGAGCCGCCAGGCGGGACGGGGAGACTTGAATGGCGTTGATGGCGTGGATGACGTGTGCAGAGTCAATGGGGTCAATCAAGTCAGTAGGGTCTACGGGGTCAGTGGGGTCAGTAGGAACAGTAAGATCAGTAGGGTGCCCAAGGCCCACAGGGTGAGCAGGGTGAATGAGGGCGAGGGGCGTGTTGAAGGCAGGGGGGTTAGAGGGGTGAATGAGGTCAGTGGTATCAACAGGGTTAACATGAGTATTGCTGCGCTCCTCACTGCGTCCTATCCGTGTGCCACGGCCACTGCTGCTTGCCATGCCACCAGGCGCTGCTGCCACGGCACATGCGGACAGGTGGATGTGGGCAACACGGCCCCCAGGGGGCCCCGGGCCGCTCTCCTTGCACGGCGAGAACACCACCACTGCATGCCGTGCCGCCTTCTCTGCCCTCTGCCCTCGCACCCCATCCTGCACCTCCTTCACCGCCCTCCCTTGTGTCTTGCTGGCACTGCCGCCCTCCCCCACCCTCGCCTGCATGTTGCCCACCTCCTCCTGCTCCTCATCCCCCCTCTCGCCCCTCTCGCCTCCCTCGCTCCTCTCCCCCACCTGGCCCCCCTGGCCCCCCAGCAGAGCGAGCAAGTGGCGGCAGAGCAGGTGCTCCCAGCACAGCAGCGGCGCGCGGCGCAGCACAGCGTAGCGGCGGGCCGCAGCAGCGGCGAAGGGGAACCAGTCGGCCGGCGCGAAGTTGACCGCCTCTCCGCAGTTGAAGCCTGGGGGGGGGGAAGGGGCAGGGGCGTAAGAGGAGCAGGGGTGGGTGGAGGGGACATGGGGAGCAGAGCTTCGAGTGGCAATGCCTGTGAAGGTGACATGCGACAGATGGGGTTGCAGCGGGGTGGTGGGGCGGGGCAGCGGCAGGTAAGACGCCGGTGGATCTGGGATGATGCGATGGGGAAGGAGGGGGATGGGCGGGGTAGAGCAGCTAGGTGTGGTGGAGAGCAGCTAGGTGTGGTGGAGAGCAGCTAGGTGTGGTGGAGAGCAGCTAGGTGTGGTGGAGAGCAGCTAGGTGTGGTGGAGAGCAGCTAGGTGTGGTGGAGAGCAGCTAGGTGTGGTGGAGAGCAGCTAGGTGTGGTGGAGAGCAGCTAGGTGTGGTGGAGAGCAGCTAGGTGTGGTGGAGAGCAGCTAGGTGTGGTGGAGAGCAGCTAGGTGTGGTGGAGAGCAGCTAGGTGTGGTGGAGAGCAGCTAGGTGTGGTGGAGAGCGTACCAAAGTGCTGGTGAACACTTTCAATTGCGTGTGAGTTAGTGTGTGCGTGAGTGTCTGCGTGAGGGTGTGTGCATCTGTGCACTGGTGTGCATGTGTGTACTGGTGTGCATGAATTCAGGCTTCCATGTGTGCTTGTAGGGGAAGTGAGTTGTGCATGTGCACACATGCACGTGCCACTGCCCGCATGCCACGCTGCCACAGCAGCGCCCCAGCGTCTCACCATGGCTGAACCCAGCATCTCACCATGGCTGAACCCAGCGTCTCACCATGGCTGAACCCAGCATCTCACCATGGCTGAACCCAGCATCTCACCATGGCTGAACCCAGCATCTCACCATGGCTGAACCCAGCATCTCACCATGGCTGAACCCAGCATCTCACCATGGCTGAACCCAGCGTCTCACCATGGCAGAACCCAGCATCTCACCATGGCTGAACCCAGCATCTCACCATGGCTGAACCCAGCATCTCACCATGGCTGAACCCATCATCTCACCATGGCTGAACCCAGCATCTCACCATGGCTGAACCCAGCATCTCACCATGGCTGAACCCAGCATCTCACCATGGCTGAACCCAGCATCTCACCATGGCTGAACCCATCATCTCACCATGGCTGAACCCAGCATCTCACCATGGCTGAACCCAGCATCTCACCATGGCTGAACCCAGCATCTCACCATGGCTGAACCCAGCATCTCACCATGGCTGAACCCAGCATCTCACCATGGCTGAACCCAGCATGGTACGACCGCGGGTACGTCACCACAAACTCCCCCGCAGCCTGCACGGCGCGCACCACGGGCACGCCATGCGCCAGCAGCAGGCGAGGGGAGAACATGGTCGTCTTGCCCATCAGCGCCTCACACGCCCGCCCCACCGCCCCACCCCCCCACCGCCCCTGGGACCCCACCCCTGCTCCACCCGCCCTCTCCACCTCATCCCTTGCCCAACCACTGTCGCCCCTCACAGCATCAGCTTCTCCCCCTGCTGTGCACCTCCCACCGCGCCCCCGCCCTCCGTGCCCGCCCCTCCTGTTCCCCCACCCGCCCCCTCGCCCAGGCGTCTGCTCATGCTCCCTGCACGCGGCGCCCCTGCCCTCCGCTCTGTGACCCCCCCGCGCCCGCCCTGTCTCCTCCTCGCTCTTCACGCTGCCACTTGCTTCCCTCACCATGCAACCCCCCTCGCCCGCCCCAACGGGGATGTCCCCCCCGCCCTGCCCCTGCCCCTGCCCCTGCCCCTGCCCGTACACGTGGCGCATGGCGACGGCCTCAAAGGCGTGAGCCGCCATGCCTGGCACGCCGTACCACGTCTTGGGTGCGCCCATGTGGTGATAGTTGATGCTGGGGGGGGGGAGATGGGTGGAGTGGTGCGGTGTGGGAGGGAGTGAGGGGAATGTGAGCGATGGAGGAGGGGGCGACAGGTGGAGGCAGTAGTAGGGAGGCATGCAATGAGTGGCGGTGGAATGGGATGGCATGGAAAAATGGAGAAACTGGGGCCAGCTCAGCGTGACCCAGGGTAGAGCAGCCACGGGCGCACATGCATGTGTCACTGCGCTTTGTGTGGCGCTCCTGTCATGCCAGCCCCTGCCAGCACGGCAGTGGACGCCACGTGATGGTACAGGGCGCCATGGCATGGCATGGCATGGCATGGCATGGCATGGCATGGCATGGGATGGCATGGCATGGCATGGCATGGCATTGTATGGCATGGCATGGCATGAGATGGCGACAATGGCATGGCATGGCATGGCATGGTATGGCATGGCATGGCATGGCATGGCATGGCATGGCATGGCATGGCATGGGATGGCATGGCATGGGATGGCATGGCATGGCATGGCATGGCATGGCATGGCATGGCATGGCATGGCATGGCATGGCATGGCATGGCATGGCATGGCATGGTATGGCATGGCATGGCGTGGCGTGGCGTGGCGTGGCGTGGCGTGGCGTGGCGTGGCATGGCATGGCATGGCATGGCATGGCATGGCATGGCATGGCATGGCGTGGCGTGGCATGGCATGGCATGGCATGGCATGGCAAGGCATGGCATGGCATGGCATGGCATGGCATGGGCATACCTGTAGAGGTAATGGTCCTCGACGTGCCAGGCGAAGGTGCTGAAGAGCATCCCCACGTACAGCATCGGCGAGGTCACGCCCTGCCATGCCATGGGGGGGGGGAAGGAGAAGGGCGTGGCGGGCCATGCGGCATGCACACAGCACGGTGACGGTGCGGGGGCAGCGAGGGTGCAGGAGTGTGGGGAGAAGGAGGGTTGCAGGGCGCGGTGGGGGTTGAACGAGTAGCGCGACATGAAGGAGAAGGCGCGTGCAGTGATGACGGACTGACGCTGCAGAGCATGGTGACTGTGGTGACGGTGGGCAGAAGGCCCCGCACGTGGCACAACCAGCTGAGCGACCGCAGCAGCACACGGAAAGGGTAGTGTGGAACGGCAGGGGGGAAGGGCGGGGGGAAGGGCAGGGGGGAAGGGCAGGGGGGAAGGGCAGGGGGGAAGGGCAGGGGGGAAGGGGATGCATGTGGGAGGTTGAGGGTGAGGAACACTCACGGGAATGTCGAGGGGCAGGCGGCGCAGCACAGATGCTGGCAGCAGGGGGAGCACCTGGTGGGCGGGCAGGCGAGGGAGGGTTAGGGTTAGGAGACTGAGGGAACAGATGGGCCGGCTACAATTGGAGGAGAGGAGACGAGTGAGAGGCGTGGTAGGGGTGTAGTGATTGGCTGTGACAACTGAGGCATGCAGTGCAGGTGAGGGGGAGATGAGAGAGAGGTGAGAGAGGTGAGAGAGGTGAGAGAGGTGAGAGAGGTGGGGGGCATGCAGTGGTGAGGCGGTGGCAAGGCAGAGCAGGCGGGGCGCACGTTGAGGTTCCAGTGCGACGAGGCGAGCGGGTCGTGCGGGTCAGAGCTGAAGCCCGTGCCGTCCACGTCGCTGCCGTACTCCACGTGCGCCCCCCCCCCCCCCCCGCGCCCCTGCTCCCCCGCCTCCCCCCTCCGCCCCCCGTCCTCCGCTCTTGCCCCTCTCCGCCTGCCCCCCTGCCTCCCTGGCGCCGCCCTCCATCTCCCGCCAGTACAGCTGCTCCACCATGCCAGCTGGCAGCGCTGCTGACGTGGCGAATCGTGTGGCCAGGAAGCGATCGGCCTTGCGCTCGAATTCAGGAAGAGAGTAGGTTCTGTTGGCGCGAGGAGCGGTGATGGGCGGGCGTGGGAAGGATGAGGGCGAGAGGAGTGATGAGTGGGGAGGGATGATCGCGACGAGAAGCGGTAGCATGGTAGCATGGTAGCATGGTAGCATGGTAGCATGGTAGCATGGTAGCATGGTAGCATGGTAGCATGGTAGCATGGTAGCATGGTAGCATGGTAGCATGGTAGCATGGTAGCATGGTAGCATGGTAGCATGGTAGCATGGTAGCATGGTAGCATGGTAGCATGGTAGCATGGTAGCATGGTAGCATGGTAGCATGGTAGCATGGTAGCATGGTAGCATGGTAGCATGGTAGCATGGTAGTATGGTAGCATGGTAGCATGGGCGGGCAGGGAGATGGATAGCATGGTAGGAGTGGTCCACAGGCAGCGGTGGGCACGGTGGGCGAAGCAAGGAGAGCGAGGGCCGGATTCGAGAATTAGCACCTCAGAAGCAACCTTCACTTATCCTTCCGCCCCTTTCCCTCAAGGATGCCTTATCCCTACAGCAAGCAGCGTTCAGCGGAATCGCCCCTCTCTCCCCAAGTCCCCCCCAGTCCTCCAGCAGCCTGCGATCCCTTTCTGCAAGCACCGCCCTGTTCCCTCCCCATCCACGCCTTACCCCTGCTTCTCGACCGCTGCCCGCGGCGCCACACCATCGCAGCACAATTTCAATCGTCGCCACCTCACCATGCGAGGGCAGCGGGGGGCTCACCTGCCGCTCATGCGGAAGGCGGGGGGATCGCCATGCGCGCACGCCGCCGCGCGCACGGGCTGCTCGCGCGTGGTGAAGCGGAAGGGGCGCTTCTGCCCGCGCTGCAGCACGTGACCCGCGGGCACCGACGGCAGCACGGGCGGCACGATCTTGCACATGCCTGCATGGGGGGGGGGGGGGGAGGGGCGCAGGCGGGAGAGGGGCGAGGAGGCGAGGGGGGGAGCGAGGACGTGGGGAGGGCCGCGACCCGTAGAAACCTACGGGTGGAGCGGTGCTCCGCGTCTGCCCCGCTGCATTGCCTGGCCCGCCTGCGCGCGCACGCACCCCGTGCATGCGCGCTGCAGCGCAGCCTGCTTGCCTGCACGGGGGTGCTGGCGGGGGGAGCGGGGAGGGGAAGTGAATGTGGCAAGCGCGTGCGCGATAGCGGGGCGTGTTGAACGAATGCGGGTGTGGGTATGGAGTGGGTCGCTGTGGGTATGGAGTGGGTCTCGGGAGGGACGAGGGGCGACGTAGAGGAAGAGGGAGCCGCGACGCCGTCGCTTCCGCAGGTCGAAGCGCGTCGGCGAGTGGGCGGGGATCTGACGCGCCGCGGAGTGGGAGGCGGAAGGGGGAAGACGAACACGAAGAGGAGAGGGCACGGGGGAGCGGAGTGAGCAGGAGCGCGCGGGGGAGCGGGGAGGGCGGCCTTCCGTGGCGTGGCCGAGCCGCGACGACCACCTGGCAGCCTCAGCGACCTTGGCGGCGTCCGCGCCTTCCTGCGTGCCATGAGCCGCGCAGCGCCTGCAGCGACAACTTCGCCTTTACCGTCCCACCCGCCCCCCTGCTCTCCCACCCAGCGGCGGTTCGTCGCTGAGCGGGGCGGCGCGCGCTGAGCGATCGACGCCGAAGGGCGTCGACTCTCGCGGTTGCATCGTCGGCGCACGGCCACCACGGGCGGGGAACGACGCACGAATATCGCGGGGGACCATCCCGGTGAGCCGCTTCGCCCCATCGCTCACGAGAGCACGACCGCTCGCCCGCCCTCGCGATCCTCAGCGCGTCGCTAACGAATTGTGTGACGCTGAACGCTATAAAACCTTTTTAGATTCGCGCCGAATCCAACTCAATCTACCGATGCCCCACCGCTCCGCACCAGTGGCGGCTAGAAGGGCCGACAGTGCCCACCCACCGTGCAGCGAGGCCACCCACCGTGCAGCGAGGCGTGGGGGCGAATCTTCTCGATGTACGCGAGCGGATCGCGGAACTCGTCCTCCGTCGGGTAGTACACGGGGCACTCGGGGATTCGCCGAATCCAGTCGTGGTCGTCCATCTCGTCGCAACGCCTCTAGCAAAGGTTAACGAGCAGTCCGATGATGGTTGTGCGCTCTAATGGCTCGTGCCGACGCTTGTTCTTCTACCCGCATAGCGTGGTAATCGCGTCTCGTTCACGGTTCTCGCGGCCAACCTCGGCGTCCGCGAGAAGCGTTGAAAGAGGCGTAGCTTTATCGCAACGACTGCTGGCGTGTAGCTAAGCGATGCATGGCTCGTGCCGCTATTGCTAAAATAAACACTCCTCGAACTCGAGTGGAGTAGCGGATGACGCTCGAAGCTGCAGCTCGTGCTTCTAGATCGACCATGTCGCGCATCGTGTGCGTCCATCCATCTCATCGTCTTGCTCCCCAAATCTACTGCACTCGTTGCCTTCAGGCCTGGCGGCCGACGGGGGGTTGTGGCGGAGCAAGCTGGGCTGGGAGGCCAGCAGCTCCACCACTCGTGAGAGAATGACTCCAGTGGCCAAAACGGTGATTCACCATCCCTCGCGTGGCCACGAATGACTCGAGTGGCCACCAAATTTGGTGATAATGACTCGAGTGGCCACGCCAGGGGATTCTTGCTGGCTTTTTTTTTCTTTGGCGCTACGGGGCTTTGTACCCACGGGGCTTTGTAGCCACGAAATTCCCCATTCGTGCGAGTGGTATCCTTAGGTAGTGTTCCGTTCTGTTCCGCACCCGAAAATTTCGCCCACACACTGTACACAAAACCGTAAAAAATGCACGACCAACAGTAGTTGCGCGGTCATTTTCGGCCCAATGCCCGACCAATGAGCGCGCGGTAAAAAAAATCAGCGATCATAAACAGCTCTGCGGGGGCATAAATGCGCGAACACATTAGTGACCGCGGGCAAGAAAAAAAACTAAAACCCACTCGGAAGGGATGCCATCCGAGGGAGCCTCAACCCTAAAATTTTAGGGTTGAGGCTCCCGAATGGCATGCCGTAAGCCATGGGGTTTATTTTTTATATCACCTTAGGGTAATGCGCCGTGAAAAAAAAGCCAGCAAGAATCCCCTGGCGTGGCCACTCGAGTCATTATCACCAAATTTGGTGGCCACTCGAGTCATTCGTGGCCACGCGAGGGATGGTGAATCACCGTTTTG